CAGATGGTACCTATACTTATCACAGTAAGCATTTCATAATGTTTATAATCGTCAAATCGCTATGTTGTATACCTGAAACTGCTATTATATGTGAACTTTACTTCAATTTTTAAAAAAGGCTATTAAGCCACAAAAGACAAGGAAAACTTTAAACATATTTTGATAAGTAAAAGAAGTCACTCTGAAAAGCCTGCATACTATATGATTTCAAATACATGACATTCTTGAAAAGGCAAAACTACAGACTCAGTAACAAGATAGTTGCCACAGGTTGAGAAATTTTTATTGTGTTGAAACAATTCTTTATGATACTGTTATGGTGGATACATGACATTTTGACATCGGTTTTGTCAAAACGCATAAAATTATACAACACAAATAGTGAACCTTAATGCAAACTATAGACTTGTTCATGATACTGTATCAATATTGGTTCATTAACTTTAAGAAATATACCACACTAGGGGTACCTGGCTGGCTCAGTCTGTGGGGCATGCAGCTCTTCATCTCAGGACTCTGAGTTCTAGTCCCACGTTGGGCAAAGAGTTTATTAAATAAATAAATATTGAGGAAAAAAAAAAAAAAGAAAGGTACCACACTAATGCAAAATGTTAATAACAGGGAAAACTGTGCTAGCACACAGAGAAAGGAATGTTGTGGGGGCGGGAATATGGAAATCTTTGTATTCCCTGCTTGATCTTTCTTTCTTTCTTTCTTTTTTTTTTTTTTTAAGATTTTATTTATTTGACAGAGATCACAAGTAGGCAGAGAGGCAGGCAGAGAGAGAGGAAGGGAAGCAGGCTTCCTGCTGAGCAGAGAGCCGGATGCGGGACTCGATCCCAGGACCCTGAGATCATGACCCGAGCTGAAGGCAGCGGCTTAACCCACTGAGCCACCCAGGCGCCCCTCTTTCTTTATTTTTTAAGAAGATTTATTTGAGAGAGAGAGAGAGAGAAGTGGGAGGGGCAGGGAGAGGAGAGAGAATTTCAAGCAGACTCCGTGCTGGGTGAAGCCGGAGGCAGAGCTGGATTCCACGACCCAAGACCACGACCCAAGCTGAAACCAAGAGCTGGATGCTTAACCGACTATGCCACCTCAGTGCCCTGCTCAGTTTTTCTGTAAAGCTATTGATTTTTCTGTAAATCTTCCAATGTCCACGGTAGAAAAACAACACTATTCAAAAAGAAAAGTCTTACAGAGTCAACTGAAAATAAAGTACCACTGAGGGATGCATTAAGACTGAAATAACTGGGGGTGCCTGGGTGGCTCAGTGGGTTAAGCCTCTGCCTTTGGCTCCGGTCATGATCTCAGGGTCCTGGGATCGAGCCCTGCATCAGGCTCTCTGCTCAGCAGGGAGCCTGCTCCCCCGATCTCTGCCTGCCTCTCGCCTGCTTGTGATCTCTCTGTCAAATAAATAAATAAAATCTTAAAAAAAGAAAAGAAAAGAAATATTCACCATCTAACCACGGTGACATCAAGATTAAGAAATCTTTTTAAGGGGCACCTGGGTAGACAGTCAGTTAAGCCTCCGATGCTTGGTTTTGGCTCAGGTTGTGTTCTCAGCATCGTGAGATCAAGTCCCATGTCTGGCTCCATGCTCAATCTGGGGTCTGCTTAGGATTCTCTCTCCCTCTGCTCCTCCCTGCCCCCATCACTCTCCCACTTTTTCTTTCTCTAAAATAAGTGAATAAATCTCTAAAAAAAAAAATTTTTTTTTTGAGAGCTGAGTTTTAAATATAAACACTGCTATGACAAAATAGATGAAGATTATAAATTTGTCAAAGCTATATAATATAAAGTTTATTGAATTTTTTTTCAAGATTTTATTTAACATGAGATTCAATAACATTCATTCATTCATTCATTTATTTATTTATGAGACACAGTGAGAGAGGGAACACAAGCAAGAGGAGTGGGAGAGTGAGAAGCAGGCTTCCCACAGAGCAGGGAGCCAAATGCTGGGCTCGATCCCAGAACCCCGGGATCATGACCTGAGCCAAAGGCAGAAGCCCAGCGACTAAGCCACCCAGGGGCCCCGAATGGTTCTTTTTTTAAGAGTATTTTTATTGGGGCGCCTGGGTGGTTCAGTTGGTTAAGCAACTGCCTTCGGCTCAGGTCAGGATCCCGGGGTCCTGGAATCGAGGCCTGCATCCGACTCCTTACTCGGCAGGGAGTCTGCTTCTCCCTCTCCCTCTACCTGCTACTCCTCCTGCTTGTGTTCTGTGAAATAAATAAATAAATAATTTTTTAAAAAGTTTGTTTTTATTTATTTGACAGAGAGAGAGCACAAGCAGGTGGAGCAGCAGGCAGAGCGAGAGAGAAAAGCAGGCTCCCAAATGAGAAGCCTGATGTGGGGCTCGATCCCAGGATTCTGGGATCATGACCTGAGCCCAAGGCAGGTGCTTAACTGACTAAGCCACCCAGGCACCACTGAATGTTTATTATACTTAACAATTACTAGCTAGAATTATTAATAACGACTCTATATTCTGTGATGTAGAACCTATTACCACCCTTTTACTGAAAAGGAAATTGAGGCTCACTGCTTAAGGTTATGGGGTTATCAATTAATGGGCACGATGGTAAAGCACTATGCTAAAAAGTTTTTTTGTTGTTGTTTAAGATTTATTTGTTTGTTTGAGAGAGACTGCGAGCAGGGGTAAGGGCAGAGGGAGAGAAGCAGACTACCCACTGATCATGGAGCATGGCACAGGCTGGATCTCACGACCCCAGGATCATGATGTAAGCTGAAATCAAGAGTTGGGAGGTTTAACCAACTGAGCCACCCAGGCACCCCTAAAAGTATTTCATATAAGTCATTTTATATAATCCTTTCAACAACCCTGTGATTCAGTTACTTGCTCCAATTTACATGTAAAGACATAAGATTCAGGCAATTAAGTAACTTTCCCAAGATTATAAATACACTAAGTGGCTGACCAAGGCACATGTACTGATCCCAAATCCTACTCGTTGCTATTACAACAGGAACTCTATCAAAGTCACAGAAAAAAATTCCCTTCTTCCTTCATTAGTTATAGCTTTAAATCTTTTTTTTTTTTTGATAGGTTAATAAATTACAGATGCTAAAAGAAATTCTTTGTTCCTTTTTCGTTCTCCACGTTTCTTGGTTGAAATTCAATTAAAGGCAGTCCCTAAAGCACCAAAGCCCTCCTGCAAACAATATAAACACCTCTGATCCCTTGAAAAAGCTAGAGTTCGAACCTTGCACACACTGTAATCACTGAGAAAACATCCTGCAAACAGATTCAAAAGCAGAGCTTGAGAAGAAGAAAAAAGTACAAATAGCTTAGGGGAAAGAATTCTAAAGACTTACTTCCAGTTTTCTAATAGCTGCCCTGATCCCATTATAAATTATCCCTACTGGCCTAAATTTTTTTCATTTTATTTACTTTCTCTTACCCAAGCTGAAATTTTCACTGGAGATAATAAGCCCTTTTTATTTAATTTAATTAATTTGTTTATTTGACAGAGAGATACAGTGAGAGAGGGAACACAAGTGGGGGTAATGGGAGAGGGAGAAGCAGACTCCCACTGGGCAAGGAGCTTGATGTGGGGCTCGATCCCAGGACCTCGGATCATGACCTGGGCAGGAAGCAGATGTTTAATGACTGAGCCACCCAGGCACCTCAACATTTTCTCTTAAAACTGAAAACACTCTGGACATAGTATCAGTCATTAACAAATTTGTGTAAATTTATATATTAAATTTATACAGCTTTCTTCATTTAAGAAGAGTTCATGGGGTGCCTGGGTGGCTCAGTGGGTTAAAGCCTCTGCCTTCGGCTCAGGTCATGATCTCAGGGTCCTGGGATCAAGCCATGCATCCATCCGACTCTCTGCTCAGCAGGAAGCCTACTTCCCCCCTCTCTGCCTACTTGTGATCTCTGTCAAATAAATAAATAAAATCTTAAAAAAAAAGAAGAAGAAGAAGAAGAAAAGTTCAGAATAGCTACCCTGGAAAGTTTAATCTGGAGGTGAGAAAGCAAGTACACCTGAAGCTCAGAACATTTAAAAGGGCTTCAGCAGAGGCCTGAGCTGTGCTACAATGAAGAAGACTGGATGAACGCCCCAGGGAATTATACCAGGAAAGGTGGTGAAGACGTTAACAGAAGAACACCGCCAAACATAAACCACCTACTTCAGGATTTTACCCAGACTGGGATTTTGCCACTCAAAGAGAATTTCTTTTTCCGCTGTCTTTTGGAACTCAAAACTCAAAATTTTCCTTTCAGTATATACGTCTATACTACAGGTTAAAGAAATTTTATATGGTTAAACTGGGAAAATACTACTTAAAAGTAGTTTCTATACGGAAAAATGGGTTTTGGTATCTATTAACTAATCCATTGTTGAATTGGAAGTTGAAAGTACATTCCTATGCTACAGACATCCTTTTCAAAATCGTATTTTTTTTGAATGAAGGGAAAAGTATTACTCCTTCCTCCCTTAATTCCCCCATCAATTTGCATGCTTTTCAATCCTGACAAATGCAGGGTGACTTAAAATATCCAATATTCCCATCTAACCTCAATGTCAGTATATGCTAGTAAGTATTAACCTTTTTTTTTTAAGATTTTATTTATTTATTTGTCAGAGAAAGAGAGAGACTGAGAGAGAGAGAGAGAGAGAGAAAGCACAAGCAGGGGGAGTGGCAGGCAGAGGGAGAAGTAGGCTCCCCACTGAGCGAGGAGCCCCAACGTGGAACTTGATCCCAGGACCTGAGCCAAAGGCAGACGCTTAACCTACTGAGCCAGCCAGGCATCCCCCTAATGTTCAATTAACTATATCAAAGTGACATTTTAAAGAACAAAGATATTAAGTAGCTAGGTATAAAATGCCTTCTTTTAACTGGTAAACACAAACAGAACAAAGTACCTATATCCAAAGTATAATTTGATTTTTCATTAATATATAATAGGTAATAGTTGACTTTTATAGAGCTGTTCCTTTCAATTAGTTAAAAATAAAAATATTACCTTCAGGTAGTAGCTCAAGTTTAAATTCAGACCTCAAACATTTTACTATTCCCAGAAATGCCCTCTCTTGTCCACTCAAGTTCTTCCTTTGAGGGGCACTAAATCATGACAGTTGTGGCTTCATTTGTGTGAGAGCTATAATTATGTCTTCACAGCAGCATTTCTTCTGTAATGAGAAAAGTATTCAATATATATTTTCTTTTCCTAGACATAAAGAAAACTACTCGATTTTATGTAGATTTTATTATATAACAAATAAAATTATTATTTTATTATTATTATTATAATTATTATTATATAATAAATAAAATTATATACCATCCTAAAACAGAACTGCGCTGGTGGTATAGTGGTGAGCATAGCTGCCTTCCTAGTACAGCTGAACCATCAAGTGACTCAGCTGAAGAAAACTAAAGATTAGGACTGACTTTACAGATAACTCCATGTGTCCAGAGTATGTGACTTAACCTCTCTGTGTCAGTTTCCTTACCTAAAATTAGGCATGCGGACTATAGTTTTGTTTCAAGTCACATTCTGTAACTACTACTCAAAGACCTCCCCAGTAAATTGCATTTCTCTCATGAAATATTTACTAACAGGGCATTTTTTGGAACCAAAGAAGCTTGAGGCTAAATATCACCTTCCCTAAATAATACCCTGTAAAACATCCTGGAATTGGTTTGACGAGGTTAGTTCTTAAGCAAATAGTACTGGGATTACATAAAGAAAACAGAAAGAAGAAAGTATTACATGTATAGGCAGTTAATAATTGGAGTTCAGAACACACACTAAAGCATTACATTTTGCTGTCAAATTGCTTTCTAGAATATTTCACATCACATTAAAAAAGTGGACTTTACCTCATATCAAAAACAAAAATTAGGAAGAAACTGTTTCAAGAGAAGTTTCATGTTTTATAGGGAAAAGGGGCTTTTTATTGTTTATACATATTGAATGTATGGCAGAAAGGAAAAGACTGGCTATTTGGGCTTTCCTTTTCTTTTCAGGTCACTCCCATCTCTGTGGACCATATTTGGGCCATTGCTGTTTTGCTTTTGTTCAGCAGCAAATTTTATTTGTTCAATACTTTAGAGGTGTTCTCTCTTAACAACTGATTATTTTGTTGAGTTTCCTTTAGTCTTGTGTGTGGTAAAATGTATTTCTGCTAAAGTCAATTACCTGAGAATAAATACCCAAACAGGGTAACTGAAAGATGAAGCTGCTTTCAGTTTTAGAGACTCTCCTAATTCTAAGTCCCTTTTAGTGTCCTAAGATTTAAAGGATCTTGAAATATATTAAATATCAATGCCAGATCTTTTAACTTATTAATATTAAAAATGTTGCTCAAAAGTACATTAGAAAATAAAATTTCTCTCATCTTTTAGGGTACATAAATGACACAAAGTTCCTTTTATGATGTATACAAAATTACTATCAGTAGTGTCAAAAATAAATCAAGACTCCTAGTTCACAAATATTTGATAGGACATCTATCTATTTTTTTAAAGATGGGTTTGGAAAGTTTTAGTGTGTTAAGTCAACATCAAAATTTTAAATATATGCAAATATATATAAACAATAACTTATTTTAAATTTTCACTGAAAAAAAATTTAAGGCCAGTGTTCACAATGTCTCTTTAATCTTAAGGTTTGCCCTCTCTATTAACTTCCCTATAATCTTGGTTTCTATTCATTTTTTACCCTGTAAATACACACCTCTTTTCACCTCTGGTCTTTGAGAGCTCTACAGATTATTTCACTTAATCCTCACATCCCCTGAGTTGGATCTTACCTCTATAGATAAGAAGACCAAAGCTGTCAAGTAACTTGCCTAAGATCACAAAGAGCACTAAGGCTCAGATTCAAAACTAAGTTGGAAAAAAACCAAAAACAAAACAAATAGAACTCTGAAGCCCATGCATAGTCTTCAGATCATACCATACCATGCCATTACATGCAGAAAAAAAGAAACCTATAATAGAGACACAAGTCTTCCAAGCTGTGATTTTCCAGATAACAATGTGTCTTCACGAAGACCATAGTAAATGAATCATGTAGGAAATCATCAAGAACAAAAAGCCTGAAGTTAATGTTCCAAGAAAAACACTCAAAAGTACTACCCTAAGTACTGCATGGAGGAACACCAAATACGACAGGAGTCACTACTGAAAAAAAAAACACCAAAGCCATCATACTGGGTGTTCAGTTGCTCTGAACACTTATAATTTTCCTTAACTAAAGGAAGGTCTCAAATGAAAACCGTACTTTGGTGAATTCAACATTTCTGCTTTGCAAATTGAAGGTTTATCTTACGAAGTACATATCTAGGTTTTGTATTTTACTGGTCATACTACTCCATTCAAATTAAGATCAACCTATGGTGACTATCGGGTATTGTACTTTCTTATTTTGGTAAATGTCAAATTGTTGACCACTAAAATTTATTAAACTTTTTAAATTTGTTATTTTTAAGATTTTAAGTAATCTTAAATGTTGGGCTCGAATTTACAACCCGGAGATCAAGGGTTGCATGTTCCACTGACTGAGCCAGCCAGGAACCCCTCTACCTATATATTTTTCAAAGATATTTTAACCAGTAATATTTTATCAATAGTAAAAAAATTATCTGAAAAAGAACCTAATTATTTGAAGATTATTTCGGGTTCTATGAATGTTAATTCAGGCAATTTTACTGCTGTATCTCAAAAATCACTTATAATTAGGGGCGCCTGGGTGGCTCAGTGGGTTAAGCCTCTACCTTTGGCTCAGGTTATGATCTCAGGGTCCTGGGATGGAGCCCCACATGGGCTGTCTGCTCAGCAGGGAGCCTGCCTCCCCCTCTCTCTCTGCCTGCCTCTCTGCCTACTTGTGATCTCTCTGTGTCAAATAAATATATAAAATCTTTAAAAAAAAACACAATTAAAGGAGAATGTTTAAAACTGTCAAATTTCTACCCACCTCTACCAAATTCAGAAAATACGGATTAAATAGCAAGACTTCAGTTAAGAAAGTGTTTCAAGTTTCAGGTGGTCTAACTTACCTAAGGTATACAATTCTCACCATCACAATGAATCACATGGTTAAATGACCATAGGTTGTTTGCAACCCCAGTTCCTCCTTTCCTAGGACTTTAGTACAGAGGTGTTCTTTTTCTCTAGAGAAATTCCTCTAACCATGAGGCCATTTTCCCTTATTTGTTCAGGCTGGCAAAGCTTCTAGCCAAACTGACATCTAAATGAAAATGATGGGGATAAATTTAACATTTACTATGTGGCAATTAATTCTCACAGTGACCCAAGTGTGGCACAGGGCGGTTAATAAGTAGCTGAGGCATTCAGGTTGGAGAGCCCGCATTCTAGAAAGGTGAGTGAACTGAAAATATCCTCCTTTCATTACCATTGCTTTCCAGTAAAATATTATTTTTCCGCTTGCAAATGTTTAAATATTTTCTCACAGGCTATGGTTGATTTCAACACCAGGTGCCTACTTAATTGCAGCGCCTCTTTAAACAAAGCAAAGTAAAACTTAAGTTGTTTTCGCCTGCACACATACCGCTCTGCCCACAAATTCTGCAATCCAGTTTTGCCTGATTCTAAACTGCTGTCTCTTGAAGTCCCCCTCTTGCAGTTTTGGCGAAAGACTTAAAAAAGTAACTTTGAATTCTAGATAGCATCTCTCCCTCCATCCTCCCACAGCGAAACAACTAAATTCAATTAGAGTAACTCTCCGGACAATTTAGTTAGGCATAGGCCTTTAGGTAACTTCAAAACCGAGGGGGAAAAAAAAAAAAAGGTCAAACAGCGTAGGAGAATGTGGGGGAGGACGCCTTTCCCCTCCTAATCAGAAGATATAAAAGGGCTCCTAAGGAGGGGGGAAAAAAAAAAAAAGGCAAAACACAAAACCAATAAAGCGGGGCTCTTGGCTGTGCGAAGGACCACACACCAGGCGCTCCCGCCCAAGGGGTCTGGGTCCTTCTCCGCGGCGATGGCGTGTCCTGGGGCTCAGCAACCCTTTTACAGACACTTAATCTCCACCTTCTCCAGCGTGCCTTCCCGAGGCCCCCCGGCGCAGTCCCGGGAGGGGGTTAGCGGGCCTCATCGTGTGAGGCCCCGAGGAGGCCCCGAGGTGGAGCACTGAAGTCACCACCCGGGCCCGACTACCGCAGGAGCCAGCGTAGCTCAGGGAGCAGGCTGGTCAGGAGGTGACGGGAGGAAGAGGCAGGAGGAAAGAAATGGGGGTTGGGAGGTAGCGTCCCGTTCGTGGGCGCGGACAACTCGGCCAAACCCCCGACTCCCCCAGTCCCGCCACTTCCGAGAGCCCTACAGGGCGAGGAGGGAAGTCCACGAGGTGCCGGAGCGGAGGGGAGAAAATTCAAAACGAGTCTACTCAACCTCGTCTTGGCTCCGAGGCCCTGCCATGGAGACCAGCACAATGCGCAGGCGCATCCCTCTGAGAGCGCGCAGAGCAGTCCTGGGAGACTCGACCACTATCGGCCACCGTCGTCCGTTTCCTTTTTGATTCTTTCTTTCTTTCTTTCTTTTTTTTTTTTTGTAGCCCGGACTCTCACCTGGATGTAAAGCCTGGAGCTAGAGGCGGGAACCGTCCGAAAGGCTCGGTAAAGTGAGGTTATGATTGGGATTATGCGTAAGAAAATAAAGCCGTAAAGTCTTTCATAAATTAAAGTTGAAGGCAGAGGAAATATAATAGATATCTGGCTAGAACTGGAAAAATTAAACGCAAATAAGATATCCTGAGGCAGCATGGCAAAAGACTACAATTCCCAGTGGTCACGGCGTCTGAGAAGCGCAGCTTTCTGGGAGTGGTAGTGTCTAGGAACTGTGTGTGAAGTATCGGTTCTGAAGACAACCTCTTAAAATTAAGAAGAGAGAGAAGCAGTTTGAATTGGGCCTTTCCGTATCTTCATAATCGATCACAGGCCTAAATATATTTAAAGAAATAAAGAAATTTTTAAAAACTTAGGGACACTCCGCCTTTAAACCTATGCTTCTCTAATCGATGATTCCTAAATCTAGGAATAGGTAGTTGATGTTTGTGGGCTGGGTCTCTCTGTCGGAGCAGCCTCGTGGTTGTCTAGTTGCTGTGGAGGACAGAGGAAGGAAAGCGGAAGCCCAGAAGACTGCATCTTCTCGCGTACCTGTGCAAGCTAATTTTGAGCTGCCTCTTTTTGTAACAGACCAGAGCGCCTGTTGCCTATCACCACTTACGCTTCTGTAGACAAGTCTTGTGGGTACTCCTCGCCATGGCTCAGCTCCAGACACGCTTCTTCACTGACAACAAGAAGTAAGTAAGCGTCCTTTTCTTTCCCCTCCTCTCGCCTCCCTAGGATCCTTACCAAGAACTCCTTCCGTGTGACTTTGTGGAGCCTCAGTTGTCTTTGCTCTCAATTTCTCCCCGCCTTCCCCCCCCCCTTTTTTCCTGTACTCCTGTCTTGAGTGAGTTTTCCACTCGATCGGAAGCTATACCTTGCCAGTTTTTCTCCGGGATCGACCTCTGAGATCACAGATCCTTTTTTTGCCTAGCTTCTCAGGCTGTGGGTAATTTGAATTGCGAGTGTAGAGGGATCTGAGGAGCTTCAGGTTTGCTTCCTGAATGAAGCACATACGTAATTTTAAAAATGAACAGTGGACCTAATTGTTACAGGCTGCCTGCTAGTGGTGTTTCACCGTTTCTGAAAACACAAGTTTCTTTTCTTTTTAAGTAGGTGATCGACGATTCTTTTCTAAATCAGGCTAGAAAGTGGAGCTCTGATTAGGGGGATGGTAGAACTGGTTTTTGATAAAGACTGTGAAGTTAATTAAGTTGGTTACAGGTTTGTGTATTTATATATATGCTTACACATGTATGCGTGTGGGTATATATATGTGTGTGCGTGCGTGTGTGTGTGTGTATGAGCATTTTTGCTAATGGTCCCTAGGTCAGTAGCATTCGTTTGAAACCTAATTGTTTTCAGTCTTGCAGTGTATATAATACTATTACTTTTTCTTAGTGTCTCTTCAGCTACAGTGTAAGATTTTTGATGGTAGGGGACTGTGAATTATAGTTCTTGGATTGACTGAGTCAACAAATGTTTGTCAAGTTCTTCCCATGCTGATGATATGTAATGAATATTTGTTGTATGAACAAGCTAATGTCTGTGGTAAACTAGAAAACTTCCACCTCAATTATGATTATGTCTTTGGTTCTTTTTAGCTTTATGAGTTGACTGGGTAAGTCATATTCACTCCTCTTGTATTTTTGCTTACAGGATACATAAATTGTATTATCAATGCACATGAGTGTTTATACTAGGTCTAGATACTTTTTAAGGAAGGTGGTACAATAGCATGAACACTATATTTTTTCTAATTGAAATTTTTATTGAGATAATCATTGATTCACATGAAAGTTTAAGAAATAATAGACCACTATGTTTTAACACCTGTGGTAAATGGATAAACATTATATATACATTTTTGTGTGTGTTTTTAAATTCTTCAAAAAAGGTAACAAAGCCTAAAAATTAAGTTCTTGCTTCTTATACATAATATGTTCTGGTGAGTAAAATGGGGGGGTAATTTTTTTACATATATATGTGTATGACTTACATAAACGTGTGTATGAATTATGCTACTTTCTCCCCTTCATTTTACTGACCAAATAGTAAGCGAAGGGAAAAACCAGAAACTTTTTGGGAGTGTTTTCTCTTTTTTAAGATTTATTTATTTATTTTGGAGAGAGAGAGCACTTTTGTGCAAGTGGGGGGAGAGGCAAAAGGGGAGAGGGAGAGAATTCCAGGCAGACTCCCCACTAAGCGTTGAGCCCAATGCAGGGTTTGATCTCACCACACATGAGATCATGACCAGAGCCAAAACCAGGAGTCAAATGCCCAACGAAATGAGCCATTCAGGCACCCCCAGAAAAACCTAACACTTTAATTCTAGGCTTTGTTACCTTTTGGAGAACCTAAATCATTACTTACTTACTTTTTTTTTTTTTTTTTTTAGGTATAATACATATAACTGTAGCCTTACTACTCAAAGTGTAGTTTGAAGTTTAGCAGCATCAGCATCACTTGGGAGCTTATTAGAAAAAGCAGAATCTAAGATTCCACCTCAGACCTACTGATTGAGAATCTACATTTTAACGAGATCTGAAGCACTCTACCTCATTGTGGCAAAAAGATTTATTGTATCATGTCTTGATGAGCTCCTGGATTCTACCTTATCATCTTTTAAAACTTTTCCATTCCCCATGGCTAGGGCTTTAAATCAGGCTTTAGACTTTTTTTTTCTTAGAACAACTTTCTTGAGATGTAATTCACATACAACAGAATTCACACTTTTTTTTTTTTTTTTAAGGTTTTACTTATTTATTTGACAGAGAGAGAGAGAGATCACAAGTAGGCAGAGATTCAGGAAGAGGGGAGGGGAAGCAGATTCCCCACCAAGCAGGGAGCCTGATGCGGGGCTCGATCCCAGGACCCTGAGATCATGACCTGAGCCAAAGATAGAGGCTCAACCCACTGAGCCACCCAGGCACCCCCAGAATTCACACTTTAAAGTGTCCAGTATTGGGGCACCTGAGTGGCTCAGTCACTTAAGCATCTGCCTTTGACTCAGGTCATGATCCCAGACTCCTGGGATCCAGCCCCACATCAGGCCTCCTGCTCAGTGGAGAGCCTGCTTCTCCCTGTCCCTCTGCTGCTCCCCCTGCTTGTGCTCTCTCTCTCTTTCTCTGTTAAGTAAGTGAATAAAATCCTTCAATAAATAAAAATAAAGTGCAAAATTGTACAACCATCACCACAATTTTAGAACATTTTTCACCACCCTTTAGCTATTACCCCCTAATCCTTCCAACCTGAGCCCTTGACAACCACTAATCTACTTTCTGTCTCTGTGGATTTGTCTGTTCTGAATTTCATATAAATGTGATTATATAGGGGTGCCTGGGTGGCTCAGTCGGCTCAGGTCATGATCCTGGGGTCTGGGATCTAGCCCTGTGTCAGGCTCCCGGCTCAGTGGGGAGTCTGCTTCTCTCTCTCTCTCCCTCTGTGTGTGCAGTCTCTCCCTCTAGCTCTTACTCTGTCTGAAATAAATAAAATCTTAAAAAAAAATTATATGTAGTCTTTTGTGACTGGCTTCTTTCACTTTCTTAGGATGATGTTTACAGCGTTCATCCATTTTGTAATATGTATCAGTACTCATTCTTTTAATATTTTATTTATTTGACAAATATACACACAGCGAGAAAGGGAACAGAAGCAGGGGGAGTGGGAGAGGGAGAAGCAGGCTTCCCGCCGAGTAGGGAGCCCAACTCGGGGCTCAATCCCAGGACCCTGGGATCATGACCTGAGTCAGAGGCAGACGCTTAACGACTGAGCCACCCAGGCGCCCCGTCATTCTTTTTTGTGGCCAAATAATATTCCATTATATGGATATGGGATACCAAATTTTGTTTCCAATTTTTAAGTTGATGGACATTTGGATTGTTTCCACTTTTTGGCTATTATGAGTAGTGGTGATGTGAACTTTTGTGTATAAGGTTTTGTTGTTCTTGTTTTAAAGATTTATTTGTTTGGGGGAGGGGAGAGTGAAAGTGAGCAGGGGAGAGGGGCAGAAGAAGAAGGAGAGTCTTTAGCAGACTCTGAGCTAGGCCTGGAGCCTAACATGGGGCTTGATCTCATGACCTGAGATAATGACCTGAGCTGTAACCAAGAGTCTGTTGCTTAACCAACTGAGCCACCCAGGCGCCCCTGTGTACAAGATATTGTGTGGTCATATATTTTCATCTCTCTCGGGTATAGACGTAGAAGTGGAGTTGCTGATTAAATGGTAGCTCCATGTTTAACTTTTTGAGGAACTGCCAGGTTTTCTCAAAGGAACTATACTATTTTACATTCCCATCACTAATGAATAAAGGTTTGAATTTCACCACTTCCTCACTAACACTTCGTTCTTTTTTTATTATAGTTATTATAGTGACTGCAAACTGATATTGTATATTTTGATTTACATTTCCTTGATGAATAATGATGTGGAGCATCGTTTTCATGTGCCTGTTGGCCATTTGTCTATCTTCTTTGGATAAATGTCTATTTTAATTCTTTGCCTGTTTTTTAAATTGTGTTGTCTTTTTATTACTGAGTTGTAAGTGTACTTTATATATTCCATATAAAAGTTCTTTATCAGAAACATGATTTGCACATATTTTCTCCCATTCTCTCTTAGAATAGTTTTGTAATTTGACCCTTGGTGTGTATTCCTCTAATCCAATCTCAGCAGTGCTGCCAGGAAGAGCTAATGAAACAAAATTCCAATGATATTATTCTTTAATTAGGACTACTACAGTGGTACCTCACTGCCTAGAGAAAGAAGTAAAACTTATTTCACATGCTGGATTAACCATTCTGTGCACATCTCCTTAACCTTACCTTTGGTCACTGTCTGGAGCAAAATCACACTTTGTGAAATAGGCTGGGT